CTAGAAATAGTTATCCTTGCACATTTATAACTCTAACTTGTTCTTACTGGACCTGTTTATAGTTTTTGCAAACTTCAGGTAAGAGGAAAATTTTCCATACCATATTTCTCAATCAATACAAACCTTAGCAAAGTTTAATATGAACATGGGTCTACATGGAAATTCTCCATTAACTTTAAATACCTATATAACAGCTCTGAAATTCTCAAGGGTCCCAAAGAAATTTTGATTATTTTAATTTAGTTTTTCACTTTCTCTCTCTTTATCCTTCTGCTATCTCTGATCCTGGTCTTCTTCTTCTTTTTCTTTTTCCCCCTTCTCTCCTTTGTTTTCTCTTTAATTCAAACAATTTGATTCCCAAACCTCTACTCAAAATACAAAAATCAAAAACTTGTTCATTATTATTATTTATTAACCAAGATAGAAATTCAATTTGCAAGAAAGGAGAGAAATTATACCTTAGGGTTTAGGTTTGTAATGCAATTGAACTCTCTCTTCTCTCTCTCTCTCTCATTCCTTTTTCTTCACATTAGGGGGTTATCAGATGGGAAATTTCTTTTTTCTTTTTTTTTTCTTTGATTGGCTTTTCCTCATTTTGTTCTATTCTCTCTCCTTATAGGCGGTGCCTCATTTCTCTCCTGTAGTACAGTTATCACAACATTGAGGTGGCAGTGAGGGACAATGGGGTTGGGAAATTTTACAAATAGCCCCCATCAATATTGTGCTTTGCATAAAGATTCTTAAGATAATACATAATATTTAAATTTTGTATAGGGGTACTACAATGGGTACGGGACAGGGCTACACACACATATGTTGAAAATAATAAGAGATTATTATTATTATTTGATTCATGTGTTATTAGAATTAAAATTCCTATCGCATTTTTAAGTTTCTTTTATTTTGTTGATTATTATGTATTGGAAATTGCTTATTTTTTAACTAGACACCCGAAAGACCGTTAAAATCATAGTTTTGAACTTGGATATAGGTTGAAATGAACTTGACCAGTGTCTAGTTGAGTTTTCAGAAATAGATGTGTAGGGTAGGATATGCGTCCAAAGTGTATGACAAGTGTTTTAAATTAAAACATATATCACATAATTGAGTACATGACTGAAAAAAATGTATACTTATATTCAATGAGTGTCCATGAAGTTTGGGCACGGATACGTGTCAGGTACGTGTCCGCTACGAGTACGGCTTCATGATAGAAGTACCCACGTAACATTGCTTGTAAGTGAATTATTTAGATGGCTAAACCGGTGAAGGCGATGTTTGATGATGGAGATTAGGAATGAGAAGAGATATGTTGCACTTTCAGATATTGGACGTATATAGTGATTTCATATTAGTTACCGCATTAGCGCTTTCCTTCTTCTTTTATTGTTGCATCTTTTTCTTCATGCACGTAACTTCAGTCCCTAAAGCTGAATTGAATAAATTCCCAACGGATGGCTCTATTCCCTGGGAAGCACGTGAATCCTGTATATGTGCCCACGATATGATAAATATATAAATAAGTAGATAAATGCATCTCCTCGACCATTTTACAGGTGCTCTATGTCGCAGGTTATATCGTTTGTGTTGAACTATTTATTTCTAGGATTCAGTATGGATAACTTTTTGTGCCAGCCTTAGCCTACAACCGCTAGAGTGACTGATTATGTTTATGCTACTTCATAGTAGTACACTACAATTTATGTCAATCTCTAGTCTGGGACAACTAAATGGTTTATGCACCCATAAAAGTAACATTTTAGAGATGCATAATTTTTATATTTGTTAGGGTTTGGTTTTAGAAGGATTCTGCAGTTTAATATTTTATCCCTTATGATCTATCATCAGCTGGGATACTTTTATTTTCAGGTAAATTTGGACTGCCTTTTTACTCAGCATTCTTTTTTTTATCTTTTTTAATAATATTATTATTATTATTTTTGTGTTTAAGACCCATATCTTTTAGCTAAAGAATATTAACACCCTTTTGCCTAAATATCCTTATCAAAACTGGTCTACACAGGCAAATTGTACTCTTTAGTGATCCTTCAGCTCCAAAAGATCATACACTTGCTAGAAGATTACTAATGGAAAAGGGTCTGTGTAGTAATTTTTGTTGCCTCCTTTTTCTCACGCTTCAGCTCCTTCCATTTCTCTGAAAGCTGATCAGTCAATCACAAGTTATAAATTTTCCTCCTTTAGGGTTTGCTAAATTTCTCGAACCTCACTCGATTTTCTGTTTTGCTATGTTTCTCAAAGTTCAATATCTATGTGTAATTGTATAATTCCTATTTCACTCTGTCCAGTAACTTTTTTTTTCACTCTGTCCAGTAACTTGCGGCCAAGTAAGTGTCCTTGAGACTTAGATAATCATGTTATTGCCCAGGTGGAAGAAGATATTTTTGCACATAGTGATTTTGTAATTAAATTGAGGGATTATACTAGAGTGGTGTATCCTCTCCTTATTTCTCGAACAGTGTTATCGAGGCGCAAGGCGCAATGCAGGGTGCAAAAGTCTCTTACGCACACGATGCACGCGCCTCACTGAATTGAGACGCACAACTCAAACTAATATTTTCCAACATAAGACAAAGAAGCATATAAGCAACATGTTTATAAATTATCACATAAAAAGACTAAGGGTGTGTTTGGTAATCAAAGTGATTTTATTGTAGTGTTTTTTAGAAAAACATCATGCCATGGTGTTTTTTTTTCAAACATGTTTTGAAAACATCATTTATAGTTATTATTTCTATAGCGGCGGG